AGACATGTCTGTCCACACTATAGCTTTGTATGTGACAAATTTGGGTATGATGATATCATATTACACCCAAGTATTATAAGCATATCACATTTTTTTAGTTTGGACAGAGCCTTAAGCTCTGTCTGCACTATAAAATTTTCTGTGTCATGATGTAACTATACATGGTCATGATGTGATTTCACACTGTTATATTCAGCCAAATATTCCCTGTAGTGGGATGAATAGTCTGCTTGTATCCTTGTAAAATGCTTGTATTTTTCTAATAGTGTAACTCAATGGCGATGCCAAATATTTTGCTACTACACCTTGGTGGTCCTTGAGGCATGAATAAAATTTAAATTCAGTTTACTACTTTGTGTCTAAATATTGACTAATTCATGTACAGTAGGACTCCGGATGGTTTTAACAGTGCTGCAGTCAGAGTGTCTGCACCAGAGATTTCGCAGAACCAAGCAGCCACTGACAGTAGCGAAGTTGCCCTCCCTGTCATCAGACACCACAATAACTTAATAACAATACACTAATTAGTAATGTTAAAACAGTGCAGATATGTTTTGGCAGGTGCTATTTTAAATTGTTGGCAACGATGTAATAAGGCCAACTCAGACAGCGTCGGCCGACGCAGCCCGACCCGATTTATCGTCGGGGACAGTCTTAAGCCGTCGTGAGAAATATTAAACATGTTTAATATTCTACTACGCGACTGCCACTGACGCACACCATCGCGTCTGCGTTCAACTCACACAGACCCGACGCGACAACAAATCGCGTCGGGCTGCGTCGGCCGACGCTGTCTGAGTTGGCCTTTACAGGTACATATATAATGAGCCAGTATTTATTAAAAATTTCTTAAAGAATATCCCTACCATACCTTGACACAAAAACTGCGTCATGCCCTCTTAAATCATTTCAGGAAATATTACACTAACAACCAAAATTTAATCAAATATCGAAAACTCGTGGAGTTTGCGTAAAATTTTATTTCTTGTGGTTAATCGTAACTAAAGCAAACACGTGATGTTAATTATGTCATCATTCCTGACGATGACATAATTAATGTCGAAATATTGAATCCCAACACGATGGCGTGTATTTCAATACATGGGAGTATGTATTATACTTTCTTATCTGAGATTAATCAGTGGACCTTTCGGTGATGTCTACAGTTACAGCACTGTTGAACTCTAGTCTTGGCGGTCCTTGATGATTAGGCCAAGAAAAAGTTTTTGTTAAACAAAGCAACATTTTAAAATCAGGGCGGTCGGTCAGCCCAAGATCTATTTCTAAGATTACATTTGTATACTGTAACGCTTTATACCAAATAAACATTAAATTTTGCAGCTATCATATTGCCAACAGATTTAGGAATAATGTATGTTAAACATAAAATATGGGAGGGCCATGCCCTTTGTGATTTTATAATTCATCGGTGGCGTAACACTAGTTTAACTACAGCATGGTTTTCCTGAATCTGTTGGTAATATAATTGCAAAATTTTATTTAGTATAAAAAGAAAGAATCTATATGGATATGAAAAACTATGATGATATCAATTGCCAAACATCTACAACAGCCTTCTCTTGAAACCCAAAGTAAGGGGCGGTGCGCAATCTACTTCATATTTTGGTGGCACCAGTCCCTAAACAACTTGACTGAAGGAAGTAGCAAACGTACAGACGATGCTAATTGGTAGTTAGCAAAACTGTTGGCATCAAAAAACGTAAGCATACTGGTTTTACTTGAAGAAAATTCTTCAAAAATAAGTTTTTTAATTTCAGTGGGCCGCTATAAATCCCATCATGCATTACCTGCAGATGGATAATTTGTGTTGATTTTTGTTATGCGCCTCTGTGGGAGTAATCACGGATACATGGGTGAAATCCACTGAGGAAATTCCATGCTTAACACATGTACACAATGAAGGGATATGAAATTCATATTGTCAACTTACAGTACTAACAAGTCTGAGACATGTAATTATAAGCATAGGCAGGCCACAATTTTGCAGACATTGGGTCATTGGGTTCAAAATTAGCAGGATAAATTAATAATTTACATTTACCAATGTTCCTTAAAAAGTTTTACAACAGCAAAACTGGATCAATTAATTATTGTGTGGGAAAAATAATCAATAATATCCAATGGTCATGAAATTAAATTTTCTATATTCAATACTAGTTCTATCTGTAATACAATCCTAGTATCAATGCATATTCTTATATTTCCTCATATGAGATGCAATGCTTGCAGCTATTTGTTCATCCGTCTTATTTTGTCCGTAGTAATCCATGAAGTTGCCATCTGGATCCAGAAGATACATAATAATAGTATGGTCAACCTGAGGAAGGAATAATACAGTAATAATTAAAGTACAGGGATGAAAGTATAAAATAATACAAGATTTCTATGTTTATTTTTTATTTCAATACATCCAAGAGCAGGGCATGCCTTTTAAGGAAATTTTGACCACAGATGCATGAAAATATGTTCTCTGCCACTTGGCAATAAAATTAAAACATGACGCTTAGCTCAACCAAGAATTGTTTTTTTCTAATTTTTATAGCCTCCTGTAAACCCAACTGAAGGACTGGTCTCCTGGATAGATATCAAATTACAAATAAAAATTTCTATGTTCGTCTTTGATTGAATGCGTATGTCTGCACCAAATGTTCGGGTTTTTATGGAGCAGAAACATCCAAATTGAACAGCAGAACTTGGTTACAACTTCCCGAGTGCGTGCTAATACAGAGTGCATCACTAATTTTTATCGTATTATTTTCATTAGAGACCAAAGCTGCTAAAGACCAAGAAAACTCCGGTCCGAAAAATGGTCCTTAATTGGAGGGAGACCTGTACAACACTTACAATGTAGTCGTTGTCTTCATCCTTAGGTCCTTGGCTGTAATAAACTCTGAAGTTCTTTGCAACTTCTTTTACTTTCTCCATGCTTCCTGTTAAGCCGATAAACTTTGGACTGAATTCTACAAAGACATTTATAATAAACATAGTCAGTTGGTATATACACATATATCAAATATAATAGTAATGATTGCATTGATGAATATATAACCATAATCTGACCTTTGACATATTCTGCCATAACCTTGACAGTATCTCTCTCTGGATCAATGGTAATAAATAGCGGAACAATATTTGGTAAATTGCGACTTTCATCTGAAATGGAATAATAGATTTTCATAAATAATTTATAAAAACAATAGTATTACCAAAATTTGTACCTTGTTTCCTAAACTTATTTTTTCGAAAAATTGTCAGAGGAGGGCTGGACAAAAAAAAAAATATATTTTGTTTCTTTAATTAGCAAATAGTTTTGCCAAAAACATAGACAGAGACAGACAGAGGAGAAAATAAAAATAAAACTTTATTGGTGAACATAAACAGTGCAGAATGGAATGGTTAAATGCTTTAAATTTATAATTAGAAAGAAATATACATAACTTATTTTTGGAGATTTCAAGGCAGTGGCGGGCATAATAAACATTTTTTTTAAAATATAATTTTTTTTTCAGGAATTTCCATTTTTTGTTGCAGCAAACACACTAATTCATCAAAAATAAAATTTTATTCGAAATTACCATTATTCGAGGGCAGAGTGTTCGCTAAACAATGTATAAAAAAAGTCTCGCCTACAGTAGTAATACTGTGTAGCGATATCGTAACCCAAACTTTTCGTATGTAGACATAAAACTAATAATACTAAAGGAAAATAATAGAATTATTATATATAATTATATTTTTTGTGGCTTACCAATCTTATTCACTACATCCACCATCTTTTCTAGCTCATCAGGACATATATCCGGACAATGAGTAAAGCCGAAGTACAGAAGCACCCATTGGCCGAGATAATCTTTGTTTGTCTTGGGATTGCCTTCATGATCAACCAATGAGAATGGCCCTCCTATTGCTGCTTTTCCTAGAGACTTGGAACGTTCTTTCTCAAGAGCTGAAAAATTAAGATCTTGTAATCTTAAAAAAATTAAGCATAGGGACGCAATAGTAAATCACTCAACTCATAACATTAAAAAACTATATTTTCTTATGACTTATTGTTAAGTTGCTACATTGTTTTTCTTACCAAGTTCTTTCTGTCTTTTAAAATATTTGAATCCACCAATCGCTAAGCCTCCAAATGCACATGTAACCACTAAGGATTTCCAAGATATGGGCTAGAGACATAAAAAATATTAAGAAATTTAAACAATAGCATATACATAATGCACGGTACTTAAAATTGAGATTTTTTTATACACAATGTGGAAAGTGTTTTATGTACTGTTTGGTGTCTAAAATGTTTATGTTCTTCTTTTTGTTTTCCATTCTTGTTTTTGCATTAAATACCATCTCTATCTTTCATAGTCACACTGAATCGGTGGTGACTCCAGCAATTTGTAGGTAGGGTATCCGACACATCCGGAAGGGAGTACGAACCAAAGCGCCTACCAGAGCTCTGGTTAGGTTCCCGGAATAGAAATTTCTGGTAGGGTTCACAGGATGAGTTTTTATGGCTCGATAGTCATTAGAATAATTAATATCTTTAGTTTTAAAGTTCTCCTATGAACATATTTTAACATTACAGTACATGGAAAGAAACGTAAGAATTACAAATATGTCTTACTCCTTTTGATTTTGTTGGATCTGATCTGGAGCTACTCTTTCGAACTGATATTCGTTGACGTTGTTGCATTATTGGGAATTTTACTCGACTTAATCCAGCACTGTAGTGGATCCGAAATACTTGCACAGCAAAATTATGAAACCTGCAAAGTCTCATCTGTAAGAACAATCAAGGTTACTTTTTAAAAAAAAAATAGAATTGGTCTTTAACAGTAGGAACAAATATTGCTCCATCAACACACAGGTTTAAGTGATTCACAAGATGAAAACCAGGAAAAAAATGATATAGTATTGTAGACAATAAAGGGTCTATGTTAGTAATACTATCTATAGTATACTGTAAAGTATTCTAATTCCGTTAATTGATTTGACCTAAAAAGCTAGCTCAAATTTGTGTGGGAAAACCGCTAAGAAACTAGGCCTAGGCCTAAGTTAAGTAACTTTTAGCTAGGCGTGCGCATATTAATCGAACGTCTTACATTGTCATTTGTGCACGACAAATTATATTAAGATTATGTCAAAGCCTAATTTTGTCTGCGCGGAAATCGGTCCTTATTGTCCGAAGTGCACGGATGGTTTTTTCTAGGCTAACTTTTTGCGCGGAGGATATATTCCACGCGGCCCACTTAGGCCACGGACACGCCTGCTGAGTGAGTAATTGATTGAAGCCTGGCTTACTTTAGGCCTAGTCTAGGCCCTAGCCTAGTTAGGCTTTTTTTACACACCCATTTTTTTAATTATTCATTAGGCCTAATTATACTTACTTTATTTACTGCCTTGGTTGTTTCATAAAACTAATCAAATTCTGTTTCCTGTCCTGACTTTATTCCTATTTCTGATTCGAACAGACGTCAGTTAGGCTAGGCCGAGGCTAGTCAATGTGTTTGTTTTGTGTAAGCTGCCATTTTTTGTACCTATGCCTATAGGCCTACCTAACTTACTAATAATTACTGTAGTTTATTTATAAACTAGGAATAGGTATATGCCTTACATATTCTGCTTAATTATCAACATCATAATTATAATTTCATTTCATTTAATATCACACTTTTGATTTTCAAAAGATTTGTTGTCACATACTAGGCCTAAACCCTTTAACTTCGTAAAAATTCTAACTCATTCGTACACAAAACATGGCAGCCACCAGGGAAAAAATTTCTCCTTTCGAACTGAGCATGCGAATGCTAAAAGATGAATTATTTAAGAAAGATCCCGTGATGTTAGGTGTAATAGTTGCTGTAGCAGTAGTTTTGATAACCATAGGTACATTATGATTATCAGTATTGGGCTTTTTATAAGGCATATTATTGGCCTAAGAAGAAGGTTTTCTCCATATGGCCTATACCGGCCTAGTAGTAGGCCTACATATTGGGCCTAGGCCTACTACTAGGCCTACATGTGTAGCTTACTGCTAGCTACCTAGCCCTCTAGTCTAACTAGCCTAGCCTAGGCCTACTCCTATAGAGAGACCTAGGCTCCTAGGCCAAGTCTGAAGGAGTTTAATTAAGCAAAGTGTAGGGCTTGTTGATTTTTTAAAATCTATCATGGCAGGAGCAATCTTATCAAAGTAGGCCTATCCAGCTTGTTTGTGTGCACGGCGCATGCTATTTTTTACATTTGTTGTATATGTTATAAATACAGTAAAACGTCCATTTTACGAACATCGATTTTACGAATGATATTTGTCCCTGATGACGTCATTATCGACCAGTTATTACCATAAAAAAAGTCTGATTGTGCACGTTTTACAAAGTGATAATGTATATTTTTTTTGATAATCAAGTTTGTTGTAATTATTTATTAATATACTAGTTTGATCTTCCATTTCTGGTATAATAATAACTATAATTATCACTATATTAATGTAACAAACCTAACCAGAACAACGAAATACCAACGCAAGTGTCATTGGATTAAGCGCTGTAGAACACGATAGAAAGGGCCATAAAACATACAGATGTTTGAATAAGAGTTGAAATAACATTTTGTTAAGTGGAAGAATGCCAGTGATTAAAATAATTTGGTTTTTATTGAAGGTAAATTCTGTTAGGCTCTAGCGCGGGAGCCTATCAGCACTCAATGGCAGTTGATGATAGCTAGGCCTAGTTATTGGAAAGAATTCGATCCAACTCGGCCACAAGTCAACTCGGCCACAAGTTAACTCGGCCACAAGTCAACTCGGCCACAAAAAGTTTGGCTACAGTCAACTCGGCCACAAGTCAACTCGGCCACAAGTCATTTACTGGTACTATGTTGTACTAATTGTTATTATTATTTTTGTTATTATTGTTGTCATTGTTGTTGTTATTATTGTTGTTTTTATTACCGTTAGTTTTAATATTAATTATTAGTCTTAGCATTAACATTATATATTGTTCAAATTTTTGCTGATATTATTATTATTATTATTATTACAGTACCATATAAATAATAAATAATTTTCGATTTTTTATTATTATTATTCATATTATTATTATTATTATTATTATTATTATTTATTAGTCTTAGTATTATAATTTTAATAATAGTAATTTAAAAAGTTGTTGTTATGGGCGTTTTATTAGTATTTTTCTCATATTATTATTATTAATATTAATATTGATGTTGTCACCTTTATTATCGATATTATTACCCTTATATTACTAAGTAGGCCTAGTATTATAAGTATCATTATTATTATTATTACTAATTAGTATTACTATTATTATAAAAATAAACATTATCTTTAATTTATTATTGTATTATTGCTATTATCACCTTCAATATCGTTATTATCACTAATTAGTTATTAAAAGTGATATTTAAATATCGTTATTATTACCATACTAGTATTATTACTATTTGTTAAAATAAATATTACTATTAATGTTGTTGTTATTATCACATTATTATCGTCATAATGACTAATTAGTATTATTAATGTAAATATTACTAATTTATTGTCGTTATTGTTGTTTAATATTATTGTTGAAGTAGAATGTTGTGAGCAAACAGAAGACGAACACATTAATAAATAACTCTTTTTAATTCATAGGCAATAGCATTCAAATCTCTTGGTAGTATGGTGGTCCTGTTTTACTAAAACATACTGTGTACTTTATTTCAATCATATATTGAAGAAAAAGGATGAAAAAACTTAGATTTACATTAAATAACTTGTGGCCGAGTTGACTTGTGGCCGAGTTGACTTGTGGCCGAGTTGATTTGTGGCCGAGTTGACTTGTGGCCGAGTTGACTTGTGGC